AAGCCGGCGATCCTGAGCCAGGCGGCCGCCGCCCTCCGGGAGCTGGACGAGCGGCTCAGAGGCCTCCTGAGCGCGCAGGGCGGCGAGCACAAGCTCAAAGGTGCGGGCGGCGAGTGGGGGGCCGCCCAGTCTCACCTCCTACTGTTTCAGTGTCCGGCGACGTGATCAAGCGGCTGGAGGACCGCGTGAAGAAGCTCCTGCTGCGCAATGAGCAGCTGGCCGGGCTGGTGCGCAGCGCCGGCCTCAAAATCCCGCAGGACTTCCGCAAGCGGGTGCGCAAAGCGCCCAAGTACGCCAACGCGCTGTCCAAGGAGCAGCAGGCCAGCGCCATCGAGAAGGAGCTGGACAGTATGCGCGGGTTAATTTTGCGAGTTTTTTGCTAATTTGCGCGGTTTTGCAGAGGCCAACCAGCAGAAGGGCGGCAAGCGGAAAAAGCCGCGCCCGAAACGCGCCAGAACCAAGAAGAAGCAGCTGAATTGCGTGCTGCTGATGTCGCAACCGTCCAGCTCCTGCCTGATTCTGTCGAAGGAGCCCAGCAAGGGCAAGTCGCCCGCGGGGCCCAAAGCCCGCCCATTAACCGCCCCTTTTTTGTAGAGCCCCAGCCCCAGCTGCGCGTGGTGGGCACCATGGTGCCAGTGCCGCCCCTTTTCGCGCAGCCGCTGATCGTGGTGTCTTCGAAGGGCGGGCCGAGGGCCGCCAACCCCGCCATCACCTGCCTGCCGGTGCTGCGCCCCAGCACCACGCAGGCCAACAAGGTGCCGATCCCCGCCCTCGGCCCCAAGTACGCCCGCAAAAGGGCGGCCGCCCCCAAAGCGGACAAGCCCAAGCGCCCCAAGGCGGCGCCCCCGAAGGTCGCCGGTCCAGAGCCCGACAAGCCGGAGGCGCCCAGGGCGAGGGAAGCGAGCCCCCCGCGGCCGCCCACTCCGCCCCCTCTGGAGCCGAAGGCGCCCAAGGCCCTGGAGCTGGAGATGAATCTGCCGCAAACTGAGCTCTCCAACGACATTTTCGCCTCCTTCCAGGTGCCGCCCGGCTGCCAGAACGCCGAGTCCACGTCGCCCACGGCCGCCTTCCTGCTGGCGTTCCCGCTGGTCTCCTCGGGGGCGAAGGCCGCCCTGGAGGAGGCGACCGAGAGCCAAGCGGGCACGCCCAATCTGCTCCAGATCGGCGCCCTGGACATGGCCAAACCCGCGCAGTCCTTCGCCGGCAGCCTCACGCCGCCCAATCTGTTCGACGGCTTCGCCTTTTTCAACGGCAACAAGGAGTACAGCTGCGCCCTGGAGCCGCCCCCCCCAGCCTCTGGTGAGTGTTTAGCTGTCCGATTCTGTTCGCTCATCCAGTGCGTTCCAGCTGCGGCCAAGCGCAAGGGCGACCCCAAGGAGGGCAAGTTCCCGGAGGGCGACCTGCAGAAGTTCAACTGCCCGCCCAGCTTCAAGGGCGGCAGCAATGCGCAGCTGTGGGAGGGCGACGTGTTCGGGGAGAGCTGCGGCTCGTACGGCGCCAGCTGCAAGCAGAGCAAAGGGGCGACCAAGCCCAGCATCAACTGGATGG